AGTTTTAATACTTCAAATTTAAGTTTGAATGAGTATTTTTTAAGTAAACTGAAAACAGATTTTTCATTCTTGACAACAATACTCTTAAGAAACATAGTCAACTCTTCCCTGAAGAGTTAATATGGTTAATATGGGGACATATTGGTTAATATGTGCTCATATTAACCAATCCAGGCTGGAGAGCTTCTCAGAACTAATTTCCAAAAGAACCTTTCAACCACATTACATTCTCTCAAGGTTTTGAACCTGACTATAATAAGGTTTTTTTTTTTTTTTGCCTATTGTTTTAGTGAACACGAATGATTGGCTTCCTGGTTCTCTCCCTTAGGGCCTCAGGTCTCAGAGCACAAGTTTTACACTCCTATAAGATCCTGGCAGAAGTCTCTTCACTCATATCCTGTATTCCAGGCTGTGATGTTCAGGAACATATAATCACACTCAACCACAGAGCAGAGAATAGAAACCAAAGAGCATTGAGAAACAAACAAACAAACAGAGAACACTCAGGTAAGGCTGGACTGCTCCAGTGATGGTTAGCAATAAAAGTAAGAGGAGGGGATGAGTGAGAAAAGGGATGCTCTGTAAAGACAAGCGGAAGAATTAAACAGACCCTTTTCAGAGACATCCTAAAAGGAGGTAGACTAGAGTGAGGAGATAGGACAGATAGGAAACATGAAGCAGTTCATGCAGAGGTTGTCACTATGCTCCCACTGAGTACAAAGTGGAACTCTGATGTCTTTATCCCTTGTTATCTCAAACCTGTGGCCATCAAAGCTGAAGTAGTCTCAGTACACAAGAGTCTTCCTCTCTGTCTTGCAAATGGTTCATCAAATGTCTCAGAAAGAGTGCGTTTAAGGAAATATGGGAAACCATGAATGAAGAATGAACAAAAGCTGGCTTGAAATTAGTCAGGGGCTTGCAAATTACTTTGCCCCATAGTAAGGGTTTGTGAGTTTAGAGCTGATGCGAAATGAAGGAAATAGTTTCCTTAATACTTCCCAGCTACTGAGTCCAGATCTTACTGCACAAGGACAACTGATAGAAAGAAGCATGGCTAGGAGAAACAAGATTAAGTACAATGCAGAAGTCTCCTCACCACTTGCTTGGAAATTCCCTAAAAATTTCGCCTCGCTAGAGAATTACTTAAGAAAGTAGAAATAATTGCTTTGCAGAAAAGTAAATGTATTATCAGGTTTTCACTGGTATTAAGCCTTACCCTTTCACCTCCCTCCCTTCTTTCCTCCTTTCCTCCTTTCTTACCTCATCCCTCCTTTCTCCACTCCTTCCCATCTTCTCTTTTTTCTATCTTTATTTTTCCTAACACATATTCAATAATTTTAAATCTGTCATGAGTTAAAAAATACCAAATATAAACCTTTAAATATTCTCCAACAGACTTTGGAATCACACATCTATCTCACCTTCTTTCTGATCTCACCCCTACCACCCCACATGTGCACATGAATGCTTACACAAATGCACATACTTATGAATGCACACACTCATACATTTCTTACCTGCTTGTCTTCATTGAGTTTGTGTCCCCCAAATTCTCTCCTGTTTTTACCTGCCCACGTTCTCTTTCCAACCAAAAAAAGTGATGATGTCTCTCTCTGGCTTAAAGCCCTGTGAAGACTCTATCCTCCTCCTCTGGAGCCCTCTGTTCTCACTACTTCCTGTCTTGGTTCCCACCACACCTTCAGTCAGGCCCACCCTGAGACAGCTAAGGAGGTTGCCATTTCCTGTGTATGTCACTGTATCATCTTGTCTCCCATCTTATCACTTTCTCCACCCTTTTAAAACTGCAAAACAGCTGGTAGATCCCTTCTTCCATCAAGAATTCCTGGCTCTTCAAAGAAATAAATACATATTTTCATCAGCACTACACATTTTTTATTATTTAATATGAAAGACAGCCATTGTGTAATTATTAAGTAAAGTGAATTAAAATAAGAAAAATTCTAGAACATCACACAGCACCGAGGAAACTGGGCAAACATTGTTGCTCTGCCATTATCGTTCATCTCTCTACTCTCTGTCATTCAGTGATAAGCATGTCACATGGACGGTCTCAGTTGTGTTCAACTACAACATGATGAGATATTTTACTTGAGAGAAAATATTATAAGATTTTAATATAAATTTTATTATGTACATTTAAGGTATACAACATGATGTTATGGGGGAAAGTGTGTGTAATAGAATAATTTCTGTAGTGAAGCAAGTGAACATAACCATCATCTCACACAGCTACCCACTCTTTCTTTTTATTGTTTCTTTTTTAGATGTATATATCATTAGGAATCATTTTTATACAATTAAGAAAGCATGGGATATGATTTATTCAAATTCATTCTTTTTGTTGTTGTTTATGAAGTTTAAAATACTGAAGCTCAAAAAAAATATTTGGAAATCTTGATGTCAGCTTACAAGAATCCTTTCAATATGGCAATTTACTCAGTGCTTTTTAATTCCATTTAAGACCTTAGTTTGTTGGCTCATAATCATTAGTCTCTCAAAATTAAGTATAATTTCATTCCCTATTAATATTTATATTAACCAAACTGAAAATAAATAAAATTAAAAGCCCACAGTTTAAGAACTAGGGGAAGTATCATACATATGAAGAAAAGATGTGTGGCTACCATCTAGAAAAAAAAAAATTTAAAAGACATAGGGGCCAAACTGTGGCCAAAAGTGCCTGTGAGAGCACAGGAATGCAGTCATTGACTGAAAGCTAAAATGTCTGGACCAGGTAGCCCCATTTGATCCCCATGCAGCTGCCATTTCCTGGCTGCAGACACATTTTCCTTCTGCACAGCATTTGGATGGGCAGCACTGAAAATTGTCTCAGGTTTTTCTTTCCTTTATCCTTGTACAACTATTTATCTTATTAAATATATTTATTTGGAATATCTGATAAATTGTTAACTTCTCAGGTATATTAATCAAGATCATTAGTACTCGGTGCTAGGAGATTTTTAAAAACTTTTGTTTTTGCCTCTTGTCTTTTGATGCTGTTATTGCTGTTCAAGTACTGGGGATTAAACTCAGGGGTATCCCTAGCCCTAGCTAAATTCCCAGCTCCTTTTATTTCTATTTTCAGACAGAGTCTTGCTAAATTTCCAGGCTATTCTCTAATTGCAATCCTCCTACCTCAAATTACTGGAATTACAATCATGCACCACCACACCTAGTTTATGGACTCTTGTCTTTTGATTTACAGTTTAAGCCTCAGAGGACATTTCAATTCTTGTTGTTTATTATTTGATCAGTGATTCTCACTAGTCTCTATAATCTCACTACAATTTTTGCTTTCATATTACATTTCAGTTCTCAATGTTTGCCTATATTTCTTTTTTCCTGACCATATTTATTAGAAGCTTCCAAATTATATTGACTCCACCAAATAATTTCTAGAAGTTTCAATATTTTTATTTTTCTAATTTAAAAATCTATTTTATCTTTATTTTCTTCCTCCCATTTCTCCCAGTTTCTTAAATTTTTAAGAGATTTTTCCCAGGATTATACTTTGACACTTAGAAGCTCATCAGGGGGGACATGGTTAGAATACATGGATTGTAGGTAGATTCTAGGTACTGTTTATTTCTTATAACATGTTCTGAGCTTTTATTCCCAGAACACTTCAAAGATTAATAAGGGTTCAGTCATTATATTTTTTCATTAAAAAAATTAAAGTCTGCATTCGCCCATAGGGGGGCAGTATAAACCGATTTGAGAACACAGTCTACAAAACTACAAAATCTCTCCATCCCCCCCCCCTTTAATTTATCCCTCAGACCACTAATTTGGCTTCTTTTCCAATTACTCTACTAAACTGTTCCTCCAAAATGTTACTGGTGATATTCTTGTCCCTAAACTAACTAAACTCTTTTCAGTACTGATTTTATTGAATGTCTGAGTAGCTGCTCTAAACTGCGGTGGATATTCCCTTTAATTAATTGGCTTTTGATTTTATTTTCTCTGTTTTCCTCCCTTTAGACAGTCCTCCATAATTGCCTTTATTTTTCTTCTACTTATACTTACCTGCTAAATTGTTCATTTTCTCATAAATCTGCCTTAGGACTCCTTTTTTTCTCATGCTGAATTCTTGCTTAAATTTTGATGTTAACTTTAATTTTTTTTAAAGAGAGTGAGAGAGAGAGAGAGAGAGAGAGAGAGAGAGAGAGAGAGAATTTCTTTTTTAATATTTATTTTTTTAGTTTTCGGCGGACACAACATCTTTGTATGTGGTGCTGAGGATCGAACCCGGGCCGCACGCATGCCAGGCAAGCGCACTACCGCTTGAGCCACATCCCCAGCCCTTTATGTTAACTTTAGATTCTCTATTACCTGAAATTACCTTGACCCCTAGCAGACTTCCTCTCTCTGTCCATCTGGTGGTAGTTTCTCTTGAATAGCTTCTATGAAGAACAGACTCAACTTGCACAAACCAACTCTGTACTCTTTCCCTGGAGTCTCCTCCTGCTCTAGTGCTCAAAAAAAAAAAAAAAATTCTTACTATAATCTACATGTGTTCAACTTGGGCATCACTTTGATACTTACCCTTTGAAACTATTTCTATTCAAGTAAATAATATAAATCAGTAAAATTTTATTTTCCTATATGTCAAGTAAAATGTGGGTTGTTTATAGACTTGATTGAAAGTTATTTAAACTATTAATAAAACAAATTTCCATAATTCAAAATATTTGTGCAGGTACATATGTACATATGTATAAGAGTCATTGGGATGTAATGACATATATATATATGCAAACCATATATATATATGGTTTGCAAAACATGAACTTACCTGAAATAGAGACTTATAAAAAGGCATGCCTGTTTGTTGTGTTTCCGGCTAGTGTATTGCTCAGTGGAGTTAGAAAAAGAAATCTTAAAAGCATGCTTGTATCCTGAATTTAATAGATAGTGATTCTGTGGTGGTAGCATACTGATGAGATTCTTAATGTGGAACACACAGATTCTGGGTTCTGCATCTATCAAAAATGGGGCCTGTGACTAACACCACCCACGCTCCCTTCTACTTCATCCTCACGGGCATTCCTGGATTTGAAGCTTCTCACATATGGATCTCCATCCCCTTCTTCTGTCTCTACGCCATCTCCATCATGGGAAACACTACCATTCTTGCTGTCATCTGCATAGAGCCGTCTCTGCGCCAGCCCATGTACCTGTTCCTCTCCATGCTGGCTCTGACTGACCTGGGCCTCACACTCACCACTCTGCCCACAGTCATGCAGCTCTTCTGGTTCAACATTCAAAAAATCAGATTTGAGGCCTGCTTTGCACAGTTCTTCTTCCTCCATGGATTCTCCTTTATGGAATCTTCCGTCCTGCTGGCCATGTCCTTTGACCGTTATGTGGCCATCTGCCGCCCCCTCCATTATGCCTCCATCCTCACCAGTGAGGTCATTTGTAGAATTGGGTTAGCCATTATTTGCCGCTGTGTCCTGGCTGTTCTTCCCTCACTTTTCCTACTCAAGCGCCTGCCCTTCTGCCGCTCCCACTTACTCTCTCACTCCTACTGCCTCCACCAGGATATGATTCACCTGGTCTGTGCTGACATCCGAGTCAACGCCTGGTATGGATTTGCCCTGGTCCTGCTCATTATTGTAATGGACCCTCTGCTCATTGTACTCTCCTATGTACTCATCTTGAAAAATGTCTTGAGCACAGCCACCCGGACTGAGCGATTTCGTGCCCTCAATAACTGTCTTTCTCACTTTCTGGCTGTTCTGGTCCTTTATGTCCCCATGGTTGGTGTATCTATGACTCACCGCTTTGCCAAACATGCCTCTCCACTGGTCCATGTTATCATGGCCAATATCTACCTGCTGGCCCCACCTGTGATGAATCCTATCATTTACAGTGCAAAGACTAAGCAGATCCRTCAGGGAATTACTCGCCTCCTATTTCAGAGGAAAATGCACTAACTATTGAAGTTTAGATTTACTGGAATCATTTTATTAGGTAACGTGGAGTCAGGAGCAAAGACCATTACCATCACAATTTTAAGTAGCATAGATGATGAAAGGAACAGATGGTATATAAAAAGCTTCCATTGTAAATAAAAAGATATCACTATTGCTTCRCCAGAAATTATAAGAAATAGGTTTTGTTTTTGTTTTCTTTGCAGGGCTGGGGATTGAACCCAGGACTCATGCATTCCAAGCAAATGCTCTACGCCTGAGCTACACCCCCAACCCCAATAGTTTTTAAAAAAACCCAACCTTGCACTTCACTAATCACTTGACTTAGAGAAAAGAAAAAAAATTAAAATATGATTCAAAATATGAAGCCTTTCCTTCCTTCTTTGCAGTGTTAAGTATATGATAAAATATAAAATTCTGCTTTATAAAATTTAAATTCTGATAACTATATAAAAATTCTCATCGAAGCTATAACATGTTCATATCCTTATAAGTAATTTCTAAAGCAAATGTCAACGTTTAATTAATGCTGGTTCTCATATAATCTCAAACTGAAATAATAAAAGACAACCTTCATAAATTAGGAGACCAAACTGAAAAAAGCAAAACATTATGGATAATGGTGCTATGTGCAAAGAAAAACAAATACTAATCACCAAAAGTCAAAGAGAAAATACTCTTGGAGTTTCAGAAACTGTTAAACTAATTTCCAATTCAAAGTTCACTTAAACTTAGTGGTGGAGTCACAGATTCGGAAATGGAAACTCTTGCTTAAAGAGGATGGTAGGTGCAAGAAGGAACTCCAAGAAAGTCATCTCTGGAAGATTGCAAGAAACTTGTCAATATTTTGTGTGAATATACAGAACCAACTCAAAATGGTGGAAAATTAGTTTTGCCTTCTACACTGGCTCAAGCTGTGCTCTCATTATGGTGGATATCCTTGATGTGTCATCATGATTTGTTAATCAATGAGTTGAAAAAGTTGTTTATCATTTTGTAAGCAGTTTCTTTATCTATAAAGTCTGTACAATTATGCCTCCATAAGAAGTTTTAGTAGATATTGGATATAAAACACACATAAACTGTCAGGTTTGCAAGAATGCTTTTGATAGAGAAACATGAAGTAAAAGGAAGGACCACCTTCATCAAAATTGTAAATACTATCAATAAAGAGTAAGGAATAAAGGGTATGAAAAAAGCTTTGCTTAAATTAAAAAACACCCTGTTTAGAGTATAGGCTGCTCTTAATATTATATCCTTCTTTTAATCTCATTCTGTGATATTTTTAATTGTCTCTCTCTGGATGATAGATAGATAGATAGATAGATAGATAGATAGATAGATAGATAGATAGACAGACAGAGATAAAGGCCCCAACTTAAACAGAGATATAAATAGAGATGCATTTGGGGTTTTCCCTAGGAATGTCCACTAACCCACTCCTGCATCTTGGGATATTTCCAATGCTACTGCCCTCTTCTCACCTCTTAATCACCATATGTCCAGAATTATCAGTAACAAATTCAATCTAAAAATAAAGATGAACCTCAGAACTGCATATAGATTGAGAATCTTCCTAGGAATTTTAAGAATAACTTTATTCAGGTGTCCAGCATCTATGGAAAAACAGAATGGTGAGTCTTCCAAAGCTTATCATGGAACTACCAAATGATCTAGTAATCCTACTTCTGGGCACATATAAATCAAAATTAGGGTCTTAAAGAGACTCTGCATCATCATATTTGTGAAACCATTATTCACAATAGCCAAGATATGGGAACAACCCAAGTGCCTATTAACATATGAATAGAAAAGTTTTACCTTTCAAAAGTCTATAATAAATTTCAAAATTAATGTCCCCCCCCAAAAAAAATATTGAGGTATGTCTCAGAAAATGTTCTCAAATTCAATGAATTTTTGTAATTTGCACCAAGGCCCCAATTCAATAGCATATTCAGGGAGACCTACGGAATTGAATCTGGTCACAACGTAACACACATATATAGGATGTCCTTTCATCAGCTAGCTAAAAGATTAGTTAAAGAATTTAATTGTGATAAAAGCCACAGCAAATAGAAACCCAGTTTTGGAAATTAGATGTTTGGGCTCAGAAAGGTCAAGAGAGTTCTCATTGTTACATGACTATTAGAAGAAACAATTGCTAGAAATCTGCCTAAACTCTTCTTTCTTTTTTTTTTTTTTCATCTTTCAATCTTTTTATGATAAGGGAATTCATTTGTTAAATTATACAGAAATAAGAGGAACGTATAGTCAGAATTGTGAAATAATACATGTAAAATAAAACCCCATAATATTACTGAGGGAGTACACATGGTCCTGACTTGTGGCAGGAGAGTTTGGGGTAGTAAACTAGAAACAATGATTCTATACAAAAGAGATGTGCATCTGAGTTGATGAGAATTCTAGCACATTGACACTAACACCTAAGCTATACTGTCCTTTTTTAATGTCTTTTTGTACTGTCCCACCTAAGCTATTCTCTTAGGGGGCTCTTCTCCAGAATGCACGTCAATTCTGGTTCCTTTCTCCTGAATCACCACATTGAGTACTGAGGATGTTCTCTGAGTTTCCGTTGCAAAATAATTATAAACTTAATGGAGGATTAAGTTTGGACAGATTAATTGGTGAAGATCAGTGCMGCAGTCCGTCTGCAGCAAAATAACCGGGGGGGGGGGGGGGGGGGGGGGGGGGGGGGGGGGGGGGGGGGGGGGGGGGTGACGAACAACTTGTGTACATTGATACAGCAGGAGTGGGAGCCCTTTATTGTAGGACAGGAGTGGTATTTATACATTCCACACAACTTATCTTAATTAGCATAAACTAGATACAGCAGTCAACCAATAAGGAATCTCCACACTTAATGGCTCGCTGGCGTTACTTCACAAACCACTCCCTCTGGCAATATGCCAGGCGCCATCCAGACTTGTTTACAGACTCTAACATTTGCCAGGAGCCATCCTGACTTGTTTACAGACTCTAACATTTCCCCCTTTTGTTGCCCAGGATGATCTTTCTTTATGATGATAGGAAGGTGGTGTTCTTAAACCCTAGCTATCCCATAAAATAAAATTTTGTTTTATTTCAATTCAAATATCACAAGGTTTCAGGCCTTTACTGTTAGCTTACCGTTTTTTAGGCTTCTGCTAGAACTACTAAGAGGATGAGGTGGGGAGGTAATTTCATTATTTCTGCCCTCAAGTTGTTATATCTGCTTAGAAATGAAGGGTATATAGGTGTGCCCACACAGAGACATATATATGAATAAAATGTGAGAGGTAAAGGACTTAGGAGTAATTCCTGGGATTCAGATTCAAGCCTGTGACAATGCTTCGAATTTCTCCTTCCTGTTTATCCTCAAAGTTCCTAGTGTTGAGTTTTGCCCATAGCAGAAACATCAAACTTTTGGACTGAAGGAGTGACTTAGATCGATTTCCTCTTGCAGGAGAATAAGGTAGCAATTCCCTGTTGGATTGGCTGAGTCTTAATGCTGTAGATGATGGGGTTGAGCACTGGTGGCACAAAGAGATAGATGCTAGACATCAGCGTGTGAACCACAGGTGAGGCATGCTTGGCAACCCGATGCATGACAGACACACCAATCATAGGCACATAGTACACAAGCACTGCACAGATGTGTGACACACAAGTGTTGAGAGCTTTCCACCTTCCCTCCCCAGAAGCAATACCCAACACTGTGTAAAGAATCAGCCCATATGAGACCACAATGAGCAGTGAGTCCAGCCCAAAAGTGGCCAGGACAATGGCCAAGCCCAGGATGCTGTTGAGCTTAGTATCAGCACAAGGCAGCTGGATCAGGTCTGAATGGAGGCAGTAGGAATGGGAGAGGATGTTAATGTGACAATAGGGCAGTTGCCTCAACAGGACTGGAAGTGGGGCCATGAGTGCTACACTCTTCAGTGTAATGCCCAAACCCATAGAGATGATGCGGGGCAGGGTCAGGATGGCTGTATAGCGCAATGGGTTGTAAATGGCTACAAAGCGGTCAAAGCTCATGGCCAACAGGACCCCTGACTCCATGCAGGAGAAGGTGTGAATGAAAAACATCTGGGCCAGGCAGCCATCAAAGTCAACCCTGTGAGCATCAAACCAAAGAATACCCATAACAGTAGGCAGTGTAGACACAGAGACGCCCACCTCACTAATGGCCAACATGGAGAGGAACAGGTACATGGGCTCATGAAGGGCAGAGTCTGCCTGCACTGCTGCCATGATTAGGCTGTTTCCCACAATGGCCACCATGTACATGGTAAAGAAGGGGATGGAGAACCAGCCATGTTGGGCCTCCAGTCCTGGGATGCCAGTCAGGAAGACAGATAGGCGGTTGAGGCTTCCATTGCTCTCAGTTCCCATGTCATCGACAGCAGGTATTAGTCTTCACCTGCCATTTGAAAAACAAAATAAATTAAAAAGAAAATCAGCTCTCACAAGATGAAGTTGTCTGCCTCAGTAGCCCACTCTGAAGGCTCAAAAATGAGATAGGAAGGGTGGGGGAAGCTGGAGTAACACACAGTCTCATCTCTACTCCTGTTCTCCTGAGTTCTACATTCCTAACATGTTATAGTAAAAGAGATATGTTAGACTGCCCAATTTTGTGGGAGATAACACAGCTTAAAAATGGGACACAAACTTAAATAACTCAGATCTGAGTCAGATCCATACTCAGTCAATTACTTTACTTTTAAAATGAAAGAAAATAGTATTATTCTCTTTATTTGAACATAAGGAAAAATTGAGAAAATTAATATACGTTCAGAGTTTATATTCATTTTCACTACAGAGATGAGAGCAAACTCTGACCTAGGCTAGAGTCATCAAAAAGAGTTGAGTTTGAGCTCTGCTGACATGGATCTAAGATGACAAAAACACCTAGGAAAGTGATAGTCTCCATGAGTCCCTGCTGAATCCTAGGGAGGGAAAAATGTTTCCAGTAAAATTGTAACTGCAGTTTCAAACTGTTTCAA